CAGGAGATGATTAGTTCACTTAATTGGTTCGCGACTCTCTGAGACTCCTTGCCAAGTTTTGCAGAGATCAGCCTGGAAGCTTTCCAAGCCAGATAAGGTCTGTGACTGTAAATCCTCCCTTGAAAGACTTTGCTGGATGTGAATGAGCAGAATTCACAGGACATTAATAAAAGGTTTTTTTTTTGTCGGGACAAGGAGTTGGCTTCGTGGTTTGGGGGAAGCCTAGGTCAGAAGCCTAAGGTTCTGAGCCAAATGCAAAATCCTGGTTCCCATAAAACTGGACCACTTAAGGGACACCGAATCCCCCTCCCACCCACTCGTAGTTTCTGCTCCATCAACTGTTCCTCAGCTCCCAAACCCTTGATTGGACCTCTGTAGTTTAAATTTATTTTTCCAAAAGGCCTGAAGCTCCTGCAGAAGAGCCAAGAGGCAACAACCTTTAACCTCTTGTGTGTTTCAGGCGTGGCCTGTAATGGCACCGATCCCATTTGGAAGTGTGTTTGCACCCTCTCTGGTTTCCACACGCGGACCATCTACGACGTGGCATGGTAAGTGGAGATGCTCCCCACAGCATCCCAGGACCAGCTGAGATCTGTGCCAATTATGACATCAATTGACCCTTCCCCCTGTGAATATGAATCATGCATTCGGTCCATCCTCCTAGCAGAGATCGTGGGAAAGAAAGGGAGTCACCGGAGGCCTCTAAGAAGAGACAGGTCAGCTGCCTGTCTCAAATTGCATAAGGTTCCTGCTTGAGGAGGGGTTTGGACTAGAAGACTTCCAAGCTCCCCCATTTGAGTGGCATTATGGCCTAGTGGTGAAGACGCTAGCCTTCTACGTGGAAGGTTGAGAGATTAATCCTCTGTAGCGGCAGATGTTTCTCTCCTAGGGCGCAAAAGAACCAACAACCGCCATTTGCCATGAACTCTACCTAGGCATCAGAAAGGGCATCCAGCCAGTAAATGCTCAATTCTATTGTCGCCCCGAGCACCCCGAATTAAGGGATTACAGGATCAAAAAAAGGGAGAGTTTTTTAAATTATCAGCTTCTCTTGAATACGTCCCAGTATGTTCTGAACCATCTAATCCTGATCCAGAATTGTTTCCTTTTCCAAATTCCTGGCAGGTGCCACCTGACAGGTGCCTTAGCCACCGCCTGCGGAGACGACGCCATCCGGGTGTTTGAAGAAGACCCCCTCTCGGATGCTCATCAGCCCACCTTCTCCTTGACTGCCCACGTGGCCCGAGCGCATTCTCAGGATGTGAACTGCGTTGCCTGGAGCCCCAAGGAGCCGGGCTTGTTGGCTTCATGCAGCGACGATGGAGAAATGGCCTTCTGGAAGTATCAGCGTCCAGAGTCTTGCTGAATATCTTGTTCACCTCCAGGGTTGGGTATTCAGGAGCACTAGATTTCCCCCAGAAAAAGCAACTAAACATCCTACCAATTGCTTGAACGTGTGGTCGTTATTTCCATCCTTTCTGGAGAACTGCACTTCCCTAGGTGAGAACTTAACTCTTTAAAAGGAAAACACTGGATTTAACTAAGAGGAGATCCGATTTGTTTTCTTTGGTATGGATCCAGCCAAGGTAAGACTGCACTGAAGGTGGATTTGCAAGTTATGTCCGAAGGGAACCTGGGAAAGCTTTCTTATCCCTTCTACTCCGGCTCCAGTAAGTGAAATCATAGGCGTGAAATGTTGGTTTCTATTTAAAACCAGCCAAAGGGAAAGAGCCATCTGGACATCTATAACATGAATAAAATAGAACATCTGCTGTTGTTCATCTTGACTCCTTTGTTAAACTGCAGCTTCCCCAACCTGGTGCTCAGGTGGTTAGGGATGTCGGGACAAGATTTCTCTGTTTGGGGAAAATGAAAGCGACTGGGGCTGGAGAACGATGGAAAGGATGGAATTTCAAAGACTGAGTGACTTAGGCGCTCGGATAGTACAAGGTTTTTTTTTTTGCCAAGGAATGTCTACTTCAGTATTTTTCCCCCATTTATGATAGGCACCTAATTTTCCTCAACAGTATAATCTGTTTCCCATTCCATTTTTAAGAATAAGGTAAAGGTAAAGGTTCCCCTTGCACATATGTACTAGTCGTTCCTGACTCTAGAGGACGGTGCTTGTCTCCATTTCAAAGCCAAAGAGCCAGCACTGTCCGAAGATACACTATATTGCCAAAAGTAATCACTCACCTGCTTTACTCGCATATGAACTTACTGTGACATCCCATTCCTAATCCATAGGGTTCAATATGACGTCGGTCCACCCTTTGCAGCTANGTAGTTTTTAAGGATGTTCATTCACTGTGAATGTGGTGGTTTATCTCCTATTTGCTGCAGGAGTTTTCCTGGGTGTTATCATGTTTGTCTGTAGATCATTTGGCCTCTTGTTTGACTTGATCTGTCTCTGGCCCGGTGACTGGCATCTTTTATTAAATCAAATTATACAGCCATCCAAGTTCTTGCAGAGGTAAAACTCCGGATGGCTAAAGTTTCATAACTATAGGTGAACCTAATGGGGGAAGCGAATGCAATCCTTGTCGCCGTTATTATGTAGAACATCAAGTATTTCAATCTCCTATTGTGTTTTGCCCTAATTATCCCCAGGAGAAACATTTCCGGTTTGAATTCTATTTGACATTTAGTTAAATCCCGCAGCCAACTCCGTATAATCAGCCAATATCTTTCCGCTTTGGAACATGAGTGCAGGAGGCTAATTTTATCCCTTTCTTCATGTCTGACTCTTGTTGATTCTATGGGATAAGTTTGTCCACGTCTTCCGATCTTAACACTACTTATTTGCATGGTTTGCTGCTCTGACTGATATCAGCTTTGATGGTGTCTACCCATCGTGTTCTTTTTCGGCCTGGCTTCCTTTTAGCGCTAATTCTTCCAAAGATAATTGGTTTCTTCAGTGGATTTCCCAGCATAGTGTGGCCAAAATGAGTGAGGTGGCAATTGGGGGGACTACTCCCCCTTCCCCGCCTTCAAATGACACGTCGGGGGTTACGTGCGCCAGTATTTGCTTTATTTTAATCACCTTTGCTGTCCAGGGAAATGCAGGAGCAGGTTTCATGGCTCAGAACGAGCCGGTTCTCTTCCTGTCCCGTCCTTTCTTAAGGTCCAACTTTCACAAGCTAGCTGCAGAGAGACGTGTTCATTAAATGCTCACAAATGTATTTTCCAACACAATTTTTTTTACCCGGAAACTGGGCCGGGAAAAAAAAGTTTTTCTAACTTTCTCTCATTTACACATTTGACGCACAAGTGAAATACAGCTTTCAGTGGCATTATTTTGTCTCTCACTGTGAATCTGTTGGTAGCTTTTCAACTGAAAAGTAAATTCATTAAGTCCACTGAATATGTCGGCGAGGTAAGCACATCACATGAGCTGCTTCTCGTGTAAAAGTTTTGAATTGAGTAATTTTGAGTAATTGAGTAATTTATTTATATGCCGCCCTTTTCCCTGGGGGGACTCAGGGCGGCTTACAACTCGAAAAGGGNCTGGACGGTGGTGAGGGTGCGGATCTCCACGGGGAGAAGGCTCTCCTCCGCGTAGTCGCCAGTCGGCACTGACTGGCGGATGGATAATTGGTTTCTTCAGTGGATTTCCCAGCATAGTGTGGCCAAAATGAGTGAGGTGGCAATTGGGGGACTCCCCCCCCTCCCCGCCTTCAAATGACACGTCTGGGGTTACGTGCGCCAGTATTTGCTTTATTTTAATCACCTTTGCTGTCCCGGGAATATGCAGGAGCCTTCTCCAGGTTTCATGGCTCAGAACGAGTCCATTTTCTTCCTGTCCCGTCCTTTCTTAAGGTCCAACTTTCACAAGCTAGCTGCAGAGGGAGGTGTTCATTAAATGCTCACAAATGTATTTTCCAAAATAAAATTTCCACCCGGAAACTGGGCCAGGAAAAAAAGCATTTCTAACTTTTTCTCATTTACACATTTGACGCACAAGTTAAATACAGCTTTCAGTGGCATTATTTTGTCTCTCACTGTGAACGTGGTGGTAGCTTTTCTGAAAAGGTATAGTAAATACATTAAGTCCATCGAACATGTCGGCGAGGTAAGCGCATCACATGAGCTGCTTTTCGTGTAAAAGTTTTGAAGCGGTTGCTAGGCCACAGGAAAGAGGTCCTGTCGTACAAAGGAGACAAGCAAGTTGCATAGCTCCAAAACTATGGGCTTCTCAGAAGCATCTAACGTCTCTGAATTGGAAGCGAATGATGTTGACAGTTAATAAAGCAACACACACACATACACGTACTGAAAAGTTAGTACACTCTGCTCACTTCTCCGGTTCTACTACAGCTCCTGCTCTTCTGCTACTACTTTTGAGTCCTACTCCTGGAGAACAATAACTTTCTATTTGCCTTAGGCTGCTTCAGGATGTTTTAGTTCCCCAAGTTAACGAACTACCTTTAATTTCCCCCTTCAATACCACCACACCCAGCTGTTTCTCTGCTCAGCTTTCAGGGCTATTAGTGCTTGCTCGGGCTAGGAAGAGTTCTTAAACAGAGGGCAATGTTGCACATATGTTTCCAGGTTTGACTTGGGATGGCCGTTTTCACACACTGCCCTGGAAAACTGCCACACTCCCACTTTCAACCAAACAATGAAGCACAAATAGTGGTTTAAAACAGTGCTTTTCAATTTTTTTTTCAGAGATGTACCCACTTTAGGACATGGCCAAGTGTGAAAAGCGGATAAAAAGAGACATTGGTCTTAGCTGGTACAGTCTAGGATGTGCTGAGAGAGGAATGGGTTAATTCTGCTTCTCTGCCCAAAGACTTGAGTCTGTCGATTTTCTGGTCACATCTCCTGCGTCCTGCATCCTGGGCCGCCAGTTCCAATATTCGCCTGGCCGATGTGATGGCCACAAGGAAGGCTACCTTGCAGTTGAAGAAGCGCAGGCTGGCCGATCTTAATGGCTCTTAAGGGGCCGCAGTGAGAGATTGTAAGACTTTGGGCAGGTCCCAGGTAGTGTACCTGTGTACCACTGGAGGCTTTGAGTGAGGGACTCCAGGTCTCCTCCGAACGATAACACTGAGGACAGGGCTGCTACTTGCACTATATTGCCAAACAATTCGATCACCTGCCTTTACTCGCATATGAACTTACTGTAGGTGACATCCCATTCCTAATCATATGACGTCGGTCCACCCTTTGCAGCTATAACAGCTTCAACTCTTCTGGGAAGGCTGTCCACAAGGTTCAGGAGTGTGTTTATGGGGATTTTTGGCCATTCTTCCAGAAGCGCGTTTATGAGGTCACACACTGCTGTTGGACTAGAAGGCCTGGCTCTCAGTCTCTGCTCTAATTCATCCCAAAGGTGGTCTGTTGGGTTGAGGTCAGGTCTCTGCAGGCCAGTTAAGTTCATCCATCCCACTGTCATCCATGTCTTTATGGGCCTTGGTTTGTGCACTGGTGCACAGTCATGTTGGAAGAGG